AGCCCCATCCAATCACCCCAACTTTATCCCAAATTATGGATTTTCAGGGTCGTAAAAAGAGAGGGTTTTTTTTAAATTCCAAAAATAGAAGCTGGCACACTGTAAAGCAAAGTACTAGTCTTTGACATTTTCTTGTTAGAAAGGTTACAAAATATAACTGATGCACAGCTGCAATCTAATACCTTTTGGTGGCGGAATGTGCCTTCTTAAGAAACTGCTTGAGTAGTAGAGAACATCATGGGTAGCTAGAAATCACCTCATTTATTACTTCCTATACTTTCAGTGGCAGCTTTAACAATCCTGAGTCAATCGTTTGTCAGAGTGCCCACAATATACTCACAATTTTTAATCCCGTAACTGGAAAATTTGTTCAGAAGTAAGTCTCGCTTCAGGTAATAGGACTTTTTTTTCGTTAGCATGTTGGTTTGCATGCTGAAAGGCAGCCCAGAAACATAATAGGAAATATTGTCCTTTCTGTGACTTGTACAGTTCTACATTTCTTTTCTCTCCATCCTTGAAATGTCTGAAATTCTCAAAGATGCTATAGGTTACCAAATCCTTAACTACAGTAACTAGTGCCTGTTATGCTTCTTGTAGGAGAAGAGTAATTATTTTATTAGCTTTTTTATATTGAAAATTATCAGTACATATAATTTATTTCAAATTTAAGGTGATCTAGAAAACTAATGAATTAAATAGGCAAGTTTGCTCTGATTTGCTTCTGGTCATTTCGCATATACTTTGTTAAATAATTATGAATAAAATGTGATCTCAAAGAATTTTTCCTGAAAATAACCAAAGAAAATCTGTGGTTTCCACATGTTCCCAAGAATGATATCATGGCTAAATGATTTAATGGCTAAATTTCTTCACAACCCTCTTTCTGAGACAGCTGCAGCCCTTCTAATAAGGTGAAGAGAACTAAGGAAAACTCTCTCTCTCTCTCTTCTCCCCCCCCCACATATTTATATGCTAATGACACTGGGTCTGCAACAGTTAAAACAAGAGAAATCCAATTAACAATTTACTCTCCAGGTGGGGAGCTGAGTACAGTGGTGGAATTCAAATACCTGAACAACCGGTTGTTTTATTCAATGCAGCCCTGGGCCTCCGAGGCCTAGAACGGACTTCCGAAAGTGACATCCATGCACTTCCAGTGGGCTGTTCTAGGCTTGGGAGGCCTCCTCCAGGTTTCCAAGGCTTAGAACGGACTTCCGGCATCCACACACTTCCATTAGGTCATTCTAGGCTTGGGAGGCCTCCTCCAGGCCTCCGAAGTCTAGACTGGACTTCTGGAAGTCAGCTGGTTCTCCAAATGCAGCGAACCAGCTGAATCCCACCACTGGCTGAGTAGCATATAAATTTAATAATTCTTATTATTTGAGAAAGCAAAAAATGGCAAAAAATTACAAACTGGACAGAAATTAAACAAATGATCTTCACTTTTCTTCACCAAAGACTTGGGCGAAGAGTCAGTTCTTCAAGACCCTTGTAAACAATAGGATGGGGACTATCCAAATCTCAGGAAAAACCTCATTCCAGAGGGCAGGTGCTGCTCCAGAGAAGACATGTTTCTAGAGTCCTGACAGATGACATTGTTTAATTGAAGGAACCTGGATGATGTCAACCCTGCAAATCAAAATTGGCCTGGCAGATATTATGGGAGACACACAGTTCCTCAAGTAACCAGGACCCTGTAGTTTGAATTGCAAACTAAGAATCAGTACAGCTTGAGAACCAGGGTTGTTTCATGGATAGACTGAGACATGCCCATAACTGCCCATGCAGGTGCATTCTGGATCAGTTAATGCTTTGGGTAGACTACAAGGGCAGTCCCGTGTAAAGCACGTTGATCATTGGATACTTGACTGTCTGTATGGCCTCCTGATACAACAAAGAGCACAAGTGGCACACCAGGTGAAGTTGTACAAAGCCCTTCCTATGCCGCAGCTGCCCCCTGCTCTTCAAGCAACAGTTGTGAGTTTTAAATGACCCCTATCCAAATGAAGTTCCTGTGTTTGAGTCAATATGATGGAAACAATGGGAGTGAAGTAATATTTCGGGAGTACTTATATAATATGAATATGAAATTATAAATTAGGTTTTCGCCACATGCCCAGCACAGTTTCCCTACCTTAATGCCTGAACAGATCCTACCATCAGATAGAATGAAGTGGTCATCAGCGAAAGGGAGGGAAAAAAAGGATGTAATAGGAGGAATTGGCCACTGCTTTAGAACAGAGGCACTGCAATTTGAGATTAATGATCTTCCAGATGTCATTGAAGGGTGATTCCAACTTGTCCTTTCTTTGAGGATTGTGCAATTCTGAAATCACATTTGTTTATTTATTATATTTTATAGCCTCCCATCTTCTAAAAAAGTGTCTCTTGGCAGTGTACAATATAAGAGTTAAAAACTCTATGACAATCTAAAAACAGTCAAACATAAATAAAATAAACATATAAGATAAGCATATATAAAATCCAAGAATGCAGAACAGTCGTCAGGCTCTTCCTAGGATCTCTAGTTGCTGAAATTGGGCTATTTCAGAGGGTGCAGATAGGCGACAGAGGACAATAATGTTATATCCTAGGACTAAATAGAATTCTGCTTCCAAGCTTTGTTATTTTTTTGAATACTTGGTTGCTTGATGTACCATTAATCCTAGGTTTTGAAGCAAAATGCATGCACGGTTTGGTAATCATACTAGATTGTACATTGTAATATAGCCAACCCAATAGTAACCTAAGTGAAATAGCCAATTTCTCCAGTGTAGGATTTCTAGAAGGTTGGACTTCAACTCCTATAATAAAATCACGAAGCCACCAGTTTAGGAAAGACTGCCTGGAAAAGTAAACAGCACAGCTGTAAAGACCACGTTCCTCTTATTTCCTAACTCAGCAGGTTAAAGTATTTATAGTAGAGATGCATGTAATGATCAGCATATGTGGAAAACTAATCCATGAGCCACTGGAACCTCTTCCAAACAATGTATGCATTCAGTGCTTGGCGCATACCTACCATTAAACTGCCAAATTCTAACATATCTTTGACTCTGTTCCATGGCACATCTCACTGTTTCTCTGAGCTTTAATGTCTTGTCCTAAACATTTGGTCTGGTTTTTTAATAGAATGAGCGGGCAGAGAAATTGTTTTTTATGAAGTTGGAGTAAATATATATAGTTCACTTTCTTATTTTCTGCATTGAAGCTGACATCACTGTGTTGCACTGTACTTACTTAGAAATTGAGAGCAACATATTCCATAAAAAACTATTTGGGGCCAAGGGCTTATTCAATTTCTTTTTTCATATTTTGGTTTCTATTTTGTTGCTTGCTTGGAAAAATCCAATTTTTTATTCTTTTAATAAAAAAATTACAGGGGGCTGTGTGTGGGGCATGGGTTATACTTTATTGCCAATAAATGACGTCTCCAGTTACGTAGGAGTATAGTTCCTATTTAATATTATTGAAACTATTAATCCATTTTTGCCAGGATAATGTTATATTGCTAGATACAACCCCACAGTGCTACAGTATTGTTATGGTTATGTAGAATTCCCTTCAGAGTTAATGGTTCAAATTTTTTAGTATTTGAAGATATCATAGTTTAATATTATCTGTCTGTATTAAAATATGGAAAGATCTTTTGTTATAAGACATCCGCACATTCTACCAAGCAAGTTTTTCCATATTTCTTTCCATTTGGATTGCGTTCACATCCTTTTATTTAACAGAAAAAGTCACATTTGAAACAGAAGCTTTACAAAAGAATGAAAAAAATCTGATGCAAGTAACTTTTGAAATCTGGTCTCTTTCAGTTTTCCAGGAAAATACTTTCCTGAGATTGAGTTTCAGAATTAAACCTTCATTTAACAACCAAGTTAGTGAGATTTGAAGGTGTAACAGGTAGAATTCAAAACATTCAGCTATATCAGGTCAAACTGAATGTTGAATATTGCTATGAATTTGATTGTAACCTTTATGAAGATATAACTTTACTACAAAATGTTATCTTTAAATTTCTGTTTGATGCATATAGATTCTAAAATTTGCGTGCAAGTCATCAAATAATACTAAGTAGCATCCACAGGAAAACACAATAGTGTCAAAATGACAATCACTGCATGGTGACAAATAATAATCACATAAATGTCACTATTATATCCTTGCATTCTGATGGAAGATTCAAGTAAGCAACTTGTGACATTTGCATGATGACATCCTCATATAAATTTTGGCATGCCTCCCCTTTTATCCATGGATAGCACTCATGAGATCATGACATTTTTATAGATTATAGATTATTCAAGAATATTTAATGTAATATAGTATTTACAAGTATTATAGTTTGCACTCTTATTTTCAGAACTCTAGTTATTGATATTAAAGTATCTTAACTGGTATAAGATTTTGGAAGAAAACCTTTCAAGGAATATACTTAAATGGAATTGTACAATATAGCTAAGTTGTATTAAGGTTGCATCTAGCCAACCTTCATGCATTCTTGGAAAAATAAACACTATGGTGGTAGGCTTGACTGAATAGTTGGAAAAATTCTCTGGAAAAAGGCAAGTGATTAACTACTGTGGCTGTACTTGGTTTGAAAATGATTCAGACGTGCTTTGGGCCTTTTATGTTCTGGATCATAAGAATTTTCTACTATTCTTTAAAGTGTCAGGACATTTTTCAGGCTTTTTAGATGTTTTGATTTATTAAAGCAACAACACCTTTCTTTAAACCCTGAAAAAAGATTTGTGTACTTTAATGAATAGAGAAAAGTGCTGTATTTGTGTGAAATCCAAAGTTTTTCTGAATAGTTTGTGGAATCTCCCAAATTTCAACTTTATTGTTATCAAGGAAATTACATGGATATATCTTTGAAATCAATAGGATGTTTTTTATTTCATTTCATGGCAATTCATTTTGTTCTGTTATAATTTTATTGGAGTATGTGTTGATTGACCACAACAATTCTCATTTTTCTCTCTTTCATAAAGAACGTGGTTCTCCTCGTGACCTGATTACTAGAGACATAACCGATACTTCAGTTGGAGTCTCATGGACAGCAGCTCCAGGGCCAGTTCAGAATTACAAAATTCTATGGAAATCCCTTTACGATGGCCAGTCTGGGGAAACAACAGTTCCTGGAAATGTAGTTAATACTGTCTTACAAAACCTTCAACCTGAAACTAAGTATAAAATTTCAGTCTTGGCTTCCTACAGAAGTGGAGAAGGGCCACCTCTAGAGGGACAAGCTACAACTGAAGGTAGATAAAATACAGAAGACAACAAAGCATTCAAAGTGTGTTTATTTAGTCTTAGAAAACTGGTATCTTGCGAATCCTTTAGAATGCTTAAGGCAGTTTTTTTTAAAAAGGTAAACTAATAAATTAAAAACTATCCTTACACTAGGACAACTAAAACCATGGAATAGCAGCAGGAAGCAACAGAAGGCAAGAGTAAAGTATTGTAGTAGACTCAAAAGAACCCAAAGCATTCTAGCCAACCTTCTCATATATATTTATCTGTCTCTCTTCCCTCTGTCATCTATCATGTGATACATCAGCAAATATTATATTTTTGAAACTAGAAATAGAAGTTAAGTTGGTTAGAACAAGTCTAATTAATATTTACATGATTAGATTAAACTCAGTTTTTGATGTAAGGCTTGCCCACATTTTTAAAAGCACTGGATACTGTTCTAGTTAGGAGATTTCAGTTGCAAGAACTGATTACCAAGGATTGCAGTATTATGGAGAAATGCCTCTGTATTATTTTGTGTGGTTATGCTTGAACAGACTAGTGAAGTTAGAAAATTCAGATTTGGTGGGTAGAACTATTCCCCTTATATTCTGATCACTAGTTCCTGTTATTTCTAGTCATGAATTTTCCAGATGTTCAGGGCTGGAAAGTTCAAAGCGTTCCTTTGATGTTATTTTATCATTTTTTAATAAAAAGTTTTACAAAGAACATAAACACTAACACAAACTAATAAGAAGAAAACAGAAAAGAAAAAAAGGAAAACGGATAGAAAGAAGAAAAAATAGAAGCTTCCAACTTTTTTTTGCAGCAAATAGAAATACAATTATAAAGTTATCTTTTACTCTATAACTACAAAAGTAAACTCACTCTTTTGTATTATCCAGCTTGTTAATAACTGAAACCACAAATCATAAGTGCATTTTTTTTCCATTTTATGCAAAAAGGGGTTTCCAGTCAGCCATAAATGTAGATACCGTTTTTATGTATGCCTTTGATGTTTAGGAAAGATTGGTCTAATAGCGCTAAAGTAATTAACTGTGGCATCTAGTACAGATTCTTTTATGAATTTGAAACCAGAAACAAGAAAAAAGTATACTGTGTGGAATAAAAGAAGATTAAAACAACATATTCTGTATAAATCTAATGTGTTGGGACAAGATGTTGGAGAGAATCAATCTTGCATATCATGTTCTTATTTACTGTTTAAGACATTATAATCATGCGAGTAGAAAAGGACTTTTTGGGGGGGGGCTGAAGAGAACCAAGTACAAATATGAAAAAATATCAAACAATTGTAGATACGAGGGATCATTCTTCAAAATATAGTGAAATACATTGCTTGACGCTTGGCTTCAAATGCAGTACATAAAAATTCAGGAAAACTTGTGGATCTCCCTAAACTTGGTAGTGCTTTTTGAATACATACAGTATATCTCCCGTTACTTTTAGCCTCTCTATGTGTGCGTATGTGTGTGTGTTCCTTCATGTGTGTTCCATGGGACAACTTGCTGCAGGACAAGAATGATACTAATATTGAAGAAATAGTGGAATAGAATCATTAAAGAAAGGATGCCGAGGGAGGGGAAAAATGAAATGTGAATTATTTTAAATAATTACATTGAATTGTTGAATTGTCCCCCAGCGAGTTGTTCCGTGAGGAGTTGGCTGTGATGAGTTGGCCATGGCGAATTGGCTGTGGCAGAGTTGTCCCATTCCGCCTTGGAGGGAAGCAGGAAGCAGGGCGTGAATACAGAATTAGTGTAACTTGACTTACTTTGTAGACAATTCGGTGTATCTTTTATTGGATTAAATGAAGTTTGGAAATAGTAATGTTTTTTAATTTTTCATTTCACACTTCAAAGTGTCACCGGATGCAAGGACTGTTAAAGTAGATAATGAGAAGGAGACCACAATGAGAGTCACTTGGCAACCAGCACCTGGAAAAGTGATCAACTATCGTGTGGTTTACCGACCCCGTAGAGGAGGAAGACAAATAGTGGCTAAAGTGCCTCCGACTGTTACCTCCACAGTGCTGAAACGTCTCCAGCCTCTAACAACTTACGATATTACTGTCATTCCAACGTATAAAACTGGCGAAGGAAAACACAGAAAAGGCGAAGGAACTACAGGTGCAGATTTATTTTTTTTAAAAAAAAGTATATATGTGTATATGATAGATCAGGGCTTTTCAACCTTTTCACCCACTGTACCACTTTTAGGATATGGCAATATCCGAGTACCACCAGTCCCCTAGCAAGGAGTCAAAAAATTGACCAAAAGGAAAAAAAATGATAAAGTACAGGTAGTCCTCGACTTACAACAATTTGCTTAGTGACTGTTCAAAGTTACAATGGTACTGAAAAAAGTGCCCCCCAAGCCACAGCCGAGCAAGACGCCTGCTGGCCTGCCCGGCGGTGCTCTTCCTCCTATCCAAGGTTTTCATTGTTGTGAGCATTTCTGTTGAGAATTGGCAGCGGGAGTGGGATGGGGGGTGTTTGGTTTTTATTCCCCCCCCCCCCGTCTGCTGGGTGGTTGCAGCAGGTTTTGGTTACTTCACATGACCCTGGGACACTGTGACCATCATAAATATGAATCAGTTGCCAAGCATCTGAATGTAAATCACAAGACCCTGGAGATGCTGCAACATTCCAGCTGATTGGCGCTCCTTCTGGGCTCAGCAGAAGTGCCAGGATCAGCACCGAGCTCCAGCTGGAGCCTGGCGCTGATCCTGGCGCTTCCACTGAGCCCTGACAGCCCTGCAGCTCCAGACATCTCTCACTCAGGCTTGTGCAGTGCTGCCACCGGTTCAGCTCATTCCCCTCCCCGCTACCACTTTTCTAGAATGCCCGTGTACCATCTGCCAGGTGCCAATGTACCACAGGTGGTACTCGTACCACTGGTTGAAAAGCCCTGTGATAGATTACTGTAGCTAAAATGCATAAAGTTTACAAGTTCAAAAGTTCCTAGTTTAAGAGATTGAAATATGTGGTATAATTATTTGTTTATTTTTAAAGGCTTATTTATTATTTAAATTGCTATTAAGTGTGTGTGTGCCCTACCTGGCAGTTGTCTGAAAATGCTCCCTAGGTTGTGGTAAGGTTGGCCTTCATGGATGAACTATAAACTTTCTGTCCTTTCAGGCAATACAAGAACTAAACTGACCCTTGGGTTAAATCTTCAATTAATTGTAGTTGATAGGCTGGAGGACTAGAGAAGGTAGCTCATAATAGTACACAGCAAATGAGGCCATAATAAGGAATTTTTCTGGCCTAAATTCTGATGAAGCCTTGAATCTTTTGCTTCAATGTACTCTTTCCTGCCCGCATTATTTCATATTTGTTTGATGGTCTCATAGTTTTGAAAGCTGCTGCTACTGTTGCTAATATGGCACTTAATTTCTTAGAATTTCTGCCGTTGGGATCCTTGTGTGGGATTTCAATAATACACTATACAGGTAGTCCTTGACTTACAACCACAATTGAGCCCAACGTGTTTGTTGCTAAGTGAAACATTTTGTGATGACCCAGGGCCCCGAACGGAGGCAAAGCAATTAGCTGGTCAGAATAATTATCTTTGTAAGCACTGCAAACGTTCACCCAACAGCCCCCACATATGCTGGCACAAGTTCAATAAAACAGTCAACGGAGTTAAACAGTTCTTTAAAGTAAAACAGATAACAAAGTATGATCTTTTCAACGCCCAGCTTGCCTGTAACCTGCAAACTGCAAAACTGAGGACAGCAAGGAGAACTCAGCAGGAAACAAACTTGATCCAAAATACAAAGAGTCCAGGTACAAGAGCTCACATCACAAGAGTTCATGTTTGTTCCCGGCAAATTCCCCACCCCACAGCGTCTCCTTAAATACCTACTCCCCAGGTGTGCCTTGTGGAGTGGGGCGTGACGCTCTCCTCCCGAACAAGTGAGCCTGTCTCCGTTGTTCCCTCCTCCTCTCTGCTCTCCTTGCTCTGGGATCTGGTGGGGAGGGGCCTTGCTCCTCGCCTGAGCTCTGCCTTTCCTGTTCCAAACTTGAAGGGCCCTGGCCTGCTTCAGCCTGTTCCTCCCCATAGTCCTCCGAAGCCACAGACACCCCCTCCTGGGCCTCAACAGGGAACTCCATGTCGTCCTCAGAGTCAGGCTCGGATGGAGGCATGATACATTTGTTAGGTGAATTTTGCCCCATTTTATGACCTTTTGTGCCACAGTTGTTAAATGAATCACTGTAGTTGTTAAGTTAGTAACACGGTTGTTAAGTGAATCTGGCTTCCCCATTGACTTTGCTTGTAAGAAGGTCACAAAAGGTGATCGCATGACCCCGGGACACTGCAACCGTCATAAATATGAGTAGTTGCCAAGCATCCGACTTTGACTATGGGGATACTGCAATGGTCGTAAGTGTGAAAAATGGTCATAAGTCACTTTGTTGTAACCTTGAATGGTCACTAAACTTGTAAGCCGAGGACTGCCTGTTCA